CTCGGGAGGCAGAGGCAGGTGGATCTCTGTGAGTTCAAGGCCAGCCTGGTCTACAAGAGCTAGTTCCAGGACAAGCTCCAAAGCTATACAGAGAAACCCTGTCTCAAAAAAGAAAAGAAAGAGAAAGAAAGGTAAGAAGAGAGCTGAGGATGGGGTTGGGTGGGTGACTGCTTAGCATGCAAGGAGCCCTAGGTTCACTGCTCAGTACTGGGGGTTGAGGTTGGGAGGAATGGGGATCACAGTGTGTAATGCACTTTAGGTCAAGCCTGACAAATAGGGTTCCATCCCTTCCATACGGTGGAAGGAGAGAACCAACTCCTACAAGTTGTCCTCCTCCCCAGGAAACCCTGGAATGTGTACACCTACACACCTACACACACCTACACGTTAATTCAATAAACTAAATTTTTAAAAGAATGGAGACATGACTCAGGGGTAGAGTGCTTGCCTAACATACAGGAGGTCCTATGTTTAATCCCACTACCGCCAAAAATAAACGAATAAATAAAATGGGCGCTAACAGGGGCGTGCCGCCAAGACTGTCAAGTTGAGTTCGATCTCCCAGACCTACAGGGTTGCAAAGAGGTAACCGACTCCGACCGGGGAGCCCTTCAGACCACAGGCCACGCCGCCCTCCACCCCCGGTCCAGGCACGCCTCCCCGCACCCTACAGTGGGACACCGGAATGGGAGACCAGCCACTCCGGCCCCGGGAGCGCAACACCCGAGACCCTGCAAAAGGAAGGCGCGCGACAGGAGCCGACCCGAGCCGTGTGCGTGCCCGATGGCGACAGACATCTCCATCCCACGGCTTCGTTGCGTCCCCGGCAGGGCGCGCAGCTACCAGTCAGGCAAACCCAGTCACTGTCACTAACCTCAGCAGAGCAGTCCGGCGCAGCAGCCGACGCTCGGATCTCCCTCCTCTCCGCCGGCGCCTATGTCTCGCGAGACTTCCGCTCGAGTCTCGCGAGATCCGAGAAAGCGGCCCGTAAAGCATAGAGTAAGTGCGCCCACGGGCTTGACCAGATGTTGGTTCGCCTGAGGACAGACAGTTCTATATCCTCGGCGTCCTGCCTAGGGACCTGCAACCAAAGCTGAGCCAGGGTGTCCCACTGGCCCACAAGGCACTCTTCCACCGCTACTGAGTGCTCAATAATGTGTGAAATAGCAGAGCCTGCGGAGGGATCAAATTTTAGGGAAGTTGACGTTTCCCTCAACCTTGCTACTATGTAAACATGGGTTATTTTGTCTCGGGCAATGTTTTGGGGTTTCGGTTGGTTAGCATTTTTCTCTCTCTTTCTTTCCTTTGAAAATGAGAATTCCTGGGAAGAAGTTGTGTCTGCGAAGGCGGATTGATTGACTTCAATAATGGTGCGGGTCCAGGGTCCACAGTCTGATGTCGATTTGGGATTAGAGGCAGGCGTCACCAACCGGGAGGTAGTGACACTCAGAAGGCAGGCAGATCTCTGTTGAGTTCGAGCCCAGCCTGGTTTACATAGCTACTTCCAGGACAGCCGAGGTTGTTAGACAGAGAAACCCTGTCTCAAATAAATAAATAAAATAAAAATAAAATAAACTATCTCTCACCCCAACACCTGAAAAACAGAATTTTACCCTGTAGCCCAGGCTAGCCTCAACCTCACTGTGTATGTAGCCCAGGTGGGACTGGAACCCCCAGCCTCCTTAGTGCCGCTGAAACTGGCCTGCCTCTTTGGTTATCAGATTCTTGAGACAAAGGACCCCAAGATATTAGATTCCTCCTAAGGATATCCTCCCAGGAGAAGAAAAGACTGAAGCCTTGGGGCAGCCATAGGAAGAACTTATCTCCACAAAAATGATTTAGAGTTTGTCATCTGAAGGTGAGGAAAGCCTTAGATCTGAGACAAAGATGGGACTGACCACACCCAGGCCAGACAGCTTCCTGGAGCAGACCTCTTGCCTTCTGTTTAAAACCCTCACCCTACATCAGTGTCAGGCCCCTGAAGTTGGTTCTTGGGGATAGCCTAACTCTATGTCCTTCTTCCCATTGTGGCCACATTAAATAAATCTCCTTTTTCTGATTTGCTATAAATTTGTCTCTTTTTAAATATTGAGGACAGGGCTGGAGAGATGGCTCAGAGGTAAAGAGCACTGACTGCTCTTCCAGAGGTCCTGAGTTCAATTCCCAGCAACCACATGGTGGCTTACAGCCATCTATAATGAGATCTGGCGCCCCCTTCTGGCTTGCAGGCACACGTGGAAGGAATGCTATACACATAATATAATAAATAGATATTTTAAAAAAAAATATTGAGGACAAGTGGCCAAACCTGGTTTGTTGGGACACAGTCTGGGACAATAAATCTCAACACTGAGATGACAAGCATGTGCCACCATGCCCAGCTGGGGTTTGCTGTAGAATAATCTTTTAGTACACTGTGAAGATTTGTCACTCAGATTGGTTTAATAAGTTGAATAGCCAATAGCTAGGCAGAGAGGACACTAGGAGAAGGTTGGAGAGGCAGGGAGTTGCCAGAGAGGAAGCAGCATGGGGAGAGCAAAGTAAAGGTAAGAAAGCCACAAGGCAGAGAATAAGTTAATAAAAATGGGTTAAGTTGTAAATGCTAGTTAGAAACAAGCCTAAGCTATCAGATGAGCTTTTATAATTAATATGAAGTCTCTGAAGGATTTTGGGTGAGCTGGCTGGTGGGACAGAAAAAGTCCGACTACAGGTGTTCTGTTTGGGTGAGATTTGGTTTTATTATTGTTTGGTTGGCTTTGGTTTTCTTCAAGATGGTCTCACCCTGGCTGTTCTGGAACTCCCTCTGTAGACCAGGATGGCCTCAAATTTACAGATTCTCTTACCTCTGCCTCACTAGTGCTGGGATTAAAGACATGAGCCACACTATGCTCAGCCTGAGATTTTTGTTTCTTGTTTTTGTTTGTTAGGCCAGAGCTCTACCACTGAAATACTCTTTTTTAAATTCCACAGGGTTTTGTTAAGTTCCCTAGCCTGGCCTTGAACTCATGATTATCCTATCTTAACCTCCCACATCATTTGTGCTACAGGTGTGTGATAACACACACCCAGCTCTATAGTGTTGGCTTGAAGTACTATAGTCTTGGAGTTTTTCCTGTGCCCATTGGAAATCCAAACTGGGCTACCCCAGGGTTCTGCTTGCCAGAAGAGCTCTAGGGCTCCTTCCCTCGAGGCAGGTCAACCCTAACTGATGGCAGCATCTCTCCCATCCTTGATGTTGGACCCTTATAGGTAACAGTGTAAACAGTGCATCTCTGATGCCAGTGCAGTGTGTCTTTTGTTGTTTTTCAGGATGGGGTTTCTTAGTGTAACCCTAACTATCCTGGAAATCTACCTGTCCAGTGCTGGGATTAAAAGCATTACCACCACCCCAGGCTCAACAGTGTAATTTTAAGAAAGTCTGCAGAAAGCTTTTCTGTCTTCAACTGAACCTTCTGCTGTGCTGATGGACCGATTAGAGCTTCAATGCTTGGGGAAGGTTGGGAGGTGGCAGGTCTGGAGCCTAATTAAAACTTACTCTGACTGTTCAGCCTCCCTAAACAGTCATCCCCTGCCCACCTCTGTGTCAGACCTAACATCCTGTAACAGATAAAACCTTTGGGATGCATTATCCTAAACACCTTTAATATCCTCCAGCTAAAAGGCTAAATACCATCAGGGAACATCTGAGGTGTACAGCAGAGATGTCTCTGCTTGGCTGTAGCCGACTACTTAATGTTTCCAGTGTGTTTGGAAGGTGCCTTGATTGCTGGGTGGTGGTGGTGCCCACCTTTTGGTTTGGGCTCCCAGCGTTTGGGAGGCAGAGGCAGGCAAATCTCTGAGTTTGAGGCTAGCCTGGTCTACAGAGTGAGTTCCAGGACAGCCAGGGCTACACAGAGAACTGTCTCAAAAAGAAAAGAAAAAAAAAGTGCTTGATCTAGAATTTTCTTCTGCTACTATAAAAACTTAAACAAACTAGTATACTGCTGGAACATGGGACGCAGAGTGACCGAAATGTGTGTTCCTGAGCCACGGTCACTCAGTCTGGGCTCCAGGATAAACTCTCTCTTACCCGCTCTGAGGTGAAAGCCATGTTTTGCATCCTCCCTCTCTGGTGTAGGCGCCCTCCTCTGTGACCCTCCACAGATCCACCGAGGGAGCCACACAGCAACGGCAGCTGCCTGGCACCTGAGTCCGGCTTCAAATGTCCCGACTGTTTCAAACACCCGGGGCAGACATTTGCCCGTGAAAAGCCTTTGAGAACTCTGGCGGCCATTTTCACCCGGGCCAGAGCAGTCCTTCCCTGGATGGCCCAGCAGGCCACTGCGGTTAGTGCAGAGGCCTTCACAGCACGAGGAACCGCTGACAGCGGTGCAGACACAACTGCCACATCCTCTCTCTGGCTCTACAAAGAGGTGGCTCTTTCCATGATTTTTGTTTTTGTTTTGAATTTGTGTATGGGTGTCTGTGCACATTAGTACAGTACCCATGGGGGCCAGAAGAGGGCGTCAGATCCCAAGGGCTCAGGTTACTAATGGTTGTGAGCTGCCATGTGAGTGCTGAGAACCTGGGTCCTCTGGAGGAACAACACTTCACCTCAGATCTATCTCTCCTGCCCCTCCAAGTTTTGGGTTTCTTGTTTTGTTTGGTTCTTTTTTTGACGTGGGGTTTCTCTGTGTAGCCCTGGCTGTCCTGGAATTCACTCTGTAGACCAGACTGACCTTGAACTCGCAGAGACCCACCTGCCTCTGCCTCCAGAGAGCTGGAATTAAAGGCCACCACCCAGCTTTTGTCCCCTCCCTTTTATAGCCTTCAATCTCCATCTGTCTTTGTCAAAACTCTCTTCAAACACATCATGAACCAGGTGTGGCAATATCCACTTGTAATCCCAGCCCTTGGGAGGTGAGGCAGGAGGATTGTGAGCTCATAGCCAGCTCAGGCTACAGAGTGAAACCCAATCTCAAAAACGAATTAAAAAATAAAAAGTCAGAAGGATAAAATCATGATATAGAAGACTGTTTAGTCTTGTTTCCTAAAAGCAACCTTGGGAGGAAAGGGTTTACTTGACTTCCTCATCCCAGTCTAACTGATCATTGAAGAAAGTCAAGGCAAATACTCAAGGCAGGAACCTGGAGGCGGTAATTGAAGGCCACGGAGGACCCCTGCTGACTGGCTCCTTCTTTGTGTCTTGCTCGCCTTGCTTTCTTACACAACTCAGGACTACCTGCCCAGGGGTGGCGCTGCTCCTATTGGGCTGGGCCCTCCTCCCACGTCAATCATTAATCAAGAAAACGGCTCCTCTCACAGATTTGCCCACAGGCCAATCTGATGGAGGCGGTTCTTCAGCTGGATTCTTTCTTCCCAGAAAGAAATGTCAAATTGACAGAAACCATCCTGAAACATCTGCTCGTGTATGTGCACGTGGGGGTGAGGGGACAACTTTCGGGAGCTGGCTCTCTCTTCCCACTGTGGGGGTCCTGGAGAGCACACTCAGGGTATCAGGCTCAGTACAGGCACCGTTACTCACTGAGCCACCGTGCTGGCCCCACTTTTATCATTTTTCACCAACCTCAAATACATTTTTTTCATCTCTTTAAAACTCAAGAGGTGCCTAGTGGGGTGCTGTCCACATCCACAATACAGTTCCGATCCCAGCCACTCTCAGGAAAGCACCCCCAGAGGGCAGGGCAGACTCACTGCTCCGTGGAGCCCTTCCCTCCCCGGTACTGCGTGGCTAAGAGATACACCTCTGAAGACTCCTTCCTGCTGGCCTCTGGTTTCACGACCCTCGTATTCTGGAATTCCTGGGTCAGTCTCTTCTGTAGCAGGTGACTTTTACTTCCAGCCCAGGTTTTGCACAGCAGTGTTCCCCCGGGATGCAGGATATTCGCAGCCATGCCCACAAGGGTCAGGCACAAGCTGATGAGCCTGTCGTGATCGAGGTCTCGGATCCCCGTGGCGTTGGGTGCCATGTCACTGAGAATCACGTCCGCTCTCCTTCTGGGAAGCAGTTCTAAAATTCTCTGGCAAGTTTTGGGGTCAGTCACATCAGCAGGGCATAGGAAAGTTGCTCCTTCCAGAGGGAATATGTGAAGAAGATCAACCCCGAGCACGTAGCCCACAGGAGAGCTGGAGTCTATGGAAGCAACGGAATGCGTTATTACACTGTGAATCTCCCTACCAAAATATAAGCCAGGCACCAGGACCAAGAAAACCAGTTAACACGCATCTCTGTCCACAAGAGGCCTTTTATATGAAGACACGTAGGTAGACGTGATGGCACAGGCCTATAATCCCAGCACTTGGCTGCCTGAGGCAGGAGGATCGTCACACGTTCAAGGCCAATTTGGGCTACCAAGTGAGATCCTGCCTCTCAAAGTTGAAGAAAATAAAAGATACATTGTGTGGGATAGGGTGACCTCTACTCCCCTTGGGCCAGCTGGGGAAGCTGAGACTTGCAAAGGAAATGGTGTCCCAATTATCCTGCTTGACAGGTGGAGGTAGGACCACAAGACAGGGAGAATCCCACTCTGCTGTCAGTTCCCTACCCCAGCCTCCTCTTCTCTAGGACTCTTCTCCCAACTATCTTTTTATTTTATTTTTTTTAATATTTATTTATTTACTTATTATGTATACATTGTTCTGTCTGTGTGTATGCCTGCAGGCCAGAAGAGGGCACCAGACCTCATTACAGATGGTTGTGAGCCACCATGTGGTTGCTGGGAATTGAACTCAGGACCTTTGGAAGAGCAGGCAATGCTCTTAATCACTGAGCCATCTCTCCAGCCCCTCTTCTTATTTTATTCTGCCTGTTTTGGTTCTAAATTAGGAATCTCACTAGGTAGCCCAGACTGGCCCAAACTTCAGCTCCTCTGTCTCAACACACTGAGTGGTTGGGGGTTACAGGTAGGTACCACCACACCCAGCTCCAGTTCCCAACATTGCTTTTTGTTTTGTTTTTTTTTTAAATGGTTGTTTACTTTTTATTCCTTGAGACAACCTCACTATGTAGACCAGGCTGACCCCAAACTCGGAGAACTGCTTGCTACCTCTGCCTCCAGAGTGTTAGGATCAGAGACATGAGTAAGCAGGCTCTGTTGTTTTGGTTTGGCTTTTAGATTTATTGTTTATTGACATGTGTGTGTTTGCATGTGTGGATGTGCACTGGAGTGCAGGTGTCTGTACAGCCTCCATTATGGCCCAGCCCACTGTGAGCATTGCCACCCCGCGCAGGTGGGCCTGAGTCCATAAGAAAACAGGCTGAGCAAGCCTGGAGGAGCAAGTCAGTATGCAGAGTGCCCCTAAGAGCTCTGCTTCCGCTCCTGCCTCTGCCTCCCTTCATGTAAGCTGAAAGAAAGCCTTCCCTACCCAAGTCGTTTTGGTCATGGAGCTCACCATGCGATAGAGAGCAAACTAAGATGTTGTTGCTGTTTAGTTTTGTGGGGTTTCTTGTTTTGTTTTGAGACAGGGGCTTGGTATCCAGCCCAGGCTGGCTGCCAACTCATGTGGCCTGTTTTTTAGTTTGCTTCTTGGTTCTTTTTAAAATAACCCTTGGTTTACCGTGTGTGTGAGTGTATGCAAGTGGGCATGCGCCATGCACACTTGTGAAGCCAAAGACCAACTTTCGAATATCAGTTCTCCCCTCACCATGTAGGTCTTGGGGAGAGAACTTAGGCCATCAGACTTAGCAGCAAGCACCTTTTATCCACTAAGCTGTGACCCTTTAATACAGTTCCTCATGGTGTGGTGACTCCTAACCGTAAAATTATTTTGTTGCTACTTTATCACTATAATTTTGCTACTGCCATGAATAGTAATGTAAATAAGTAAGGGACTCTGAAGGGGTCGCAACCCACATGTTGAGAACCACTGCTGAATAAGCCATCTCCACAACACCAACATCATTCCCACCCCTGCCCCGCCCTCCCCCCCACACTTGCCTGTCGATGTCCCCCGCCCCCCATCTCCCGTCCCCACCCCACCCCCCAAGATGGGATCTCCGGTCCTGAACTCCAAACCTACTGTGTAGCTGGGATGATCTTACATTTCTAATCCTCCTGCCTTCATCTCCCAAATGTTACGATCATAGGCCTGCACCAGCACACCTGCTTAACTTAGCCGCTGAGCGCCATCCCCAGCCTGTGTCCCATTTCAATAATTATCATCTCTAAGCCAACTTAGAAAGCTGTTCAGACAATGTCTCTGAATAAAGAGCTGCTATCATTCCCTCCAACTCACGACAGCCAGAGGAGCTGGTAGTGCCTAGTGACATGCACACCCCACCTGCGCCTGTGGCATTGACTCTCTGCACCGCAACCTGACTCCAGGCTCCCGGAGCCGCCCCGCAGTCCAGCACCCGGAGGCCAGGTCGCAAGATATGATGCTTCTCATTCATCTCCAGGAGCTTGAAGGCGCTGCGGCAGCGGTAACTCTCCACCTTTGCAGCCTTCACAAACGGGTCCCTTAGATGGCGCTTCAGCCACAGGTGCTCGGCACCCGTCCGAGCTTTGTAGCGACACGCAGCTGTGTGGAATCTCTGAGCCTTAAGGGGAACGCCTACAAGCTTCGGGTACCTGTTGGCGAGAAAGGAGTTAGCAGGTGGACATTACAGAGATGCAGGTAGGAGGTCCTGGTTCAACCTATTTTTTATTTTTGCATATGTATGTGCGGTATGCAGGCATGTGTATTAGTACGCGTGTGCGCATGTGTCTGCGAGTCTATGAGAACCCAAAGTTGACAAGGGATGTCCTTCTGGTTTGCTCCCTATCTTACATATTGAGATAAAGTCGCCAACCAGCCAGTCTAGCTTGTCAGCTTGCTCCAGGGGCCCGTCTCTGTCTCCCTAGCACTGGCGTCACATCTAGTCAACACACAAGCCCAGCATTCTGTGGGTTCCGGGCATCCAAACTCCAGTCCTCATGAATGCACAGCTTTATCCGCTGAACCATGTCGTCAGCCTTTCCACTTATTTCCACGCAGAAATCCTCACTCACTCACGTCTGTACATGAACAAACATCGTGAACACGCGACTCGCATGCCGGGACAGAGGCTGCGAGCGCCCCTCTGAGGCCTGAGACACTGAGCCCCCAACTACCGTCATCCACTCCACGCACGCACGCAGGCAGCAGGCACCCTTTTAGTGCAGGAGGACACCGTAACTCCACTCACCAAGCCATGGGCGCTTGCTGGCGGTTTCCTCCCCGCCGCCGGAAGTCCCGCCCTTTCTTCCAGCCTGAGCCCCGTCCCAGGAAGCTGTAGCTTGGGCGCGAAGGTACGGATGATTCTCACTGCGTGGGAGCTGAATGAGGGAGAGACGCGGGAGATCGTGGTGGTGCTGGGGTGCCGACGGAGATCTGGGGAGGGAAGAGGGAGCAAGGACTGGGGAGATGCTTCAAGCCAGCCAGGAAGACTGGGGTGCTGGATAGACCTGAAGTCGGGGAGAACAGGGGAACTACAGACGGTAGGGAGCAGAAATCAGAGGGAAAGGGAACTTGGGACCTGGGGCTTGGGCGGTAAACTGGTGCAGAGGTAGTTTACAGCCAAGTTGCAAAGGCTTAGCCCCAGGAAGTGGAGGCTAGGGAAGAGCATTTGCAGAGTGCCCCCTGCAGGCAGGTCTAAGTTCTGCACTCCTTATGCATTGCCTCCAACACCTGCCACAGTTGACAATTCAGACAAGATAGTTGTCACCACCTCAGCCTCTAGCATATGAAAGCTCCGAGACGCATCCGATTTACCAGATCACAGCTGTCTGAGCTGAGGGAACACTAAACTGTCGTCCAGGACAGCCTAGTTTCCTTATAGGCTCGGCCGTTTGACCTCTTTCCAAATTTAGACCCTGCGCATGTTGTCTTTTCAGAAAATGTGAAAGTCTTACACAGTTCTGAGACTTACTAAATGGAACAGCTTTTGAAAACAAGGTTAATTGGGGCTGGAGTGATAGATACCTGTGAAATGCTTGCTTCACATGCTTGAGGCGTTTTCATAGCCAGTGTGGCTTGCACCTGTAATCCCAATGCTGGGAGGCAGAGAAGTGGGGTCCTTGGAGCAGTCTGGTCAGCTAGTCTTGCTGACTGCGTGAGCTACGGGTTCCAATGAGAGACCCGTCAAGTTCACAGCACCCACATGGTGGCTCACCAGCATCTATAACTTCAGTTCCAGGGGAGCCAGTGCCCTCTTCTGACCTCTGTGGGCACTGAATGCACACAGTGCACAGACATGCATGCAGACAAATTCTCATACACATGAATTAAATCTTTTTTAATATGAACAAGTTAGGCCGGCTGGGCGATGGTGGCGCACACCTTTAATCCCAGCACTCGGGAGGCAGAGGCAGGCGGATCTCTGTGAGTTCGAGACCAGTCTGATCTACAGAGCTAGTTCCAGGACAGGCTCCCAAGCCACAGAGAAACCCTGTCTCGAAAAACCAAAAAAAAAGAAAAAGAAAAAGTTAGGCCGAAAGCAACCCATTGTCAACTGTGATCTTCACACAGAGGCAGGGACACACAAAAGGCCAATCAGCCATCTCTATCTGTGGGCTCAGTATTAGACCAATTCAACCAGCGAATCAAAAATATTCTCCAACCCCAATTAACCTTGTTTGGTAGAACTATCTCACTTAATAAACCTAACAACCGTGAGATATTTCCATTTACAGAGGGGAAAACAATGTGGGGAGTCTATGTTTGAAACAATGTCAACCAACAGAGCCATGGCCAAGCCCATTCTACTAGATTCCGATTATATAGACTCCAATCATCTTTGTCCTACCAGCTAGCTTCATCGAGACAGGTAGCTGAGCGTGCTCGCGTATGCCTGTCCTCCCAGCACTCGGGTTGTTGAGGCAGGAAGGTTGGGAATCCAAGTCCAAACTGGGCTACATAGCATGACTCTGTCTCATTGAACATCCTTGCAAACAAGTCACTCATCTCCTGAATGTGTGGCCATCTGTCATGACTCACTGCGTGAAAATTATTTACACAGTGTTTACGTTGCATTAAAGTGAACTAGAGGATACGTGTTGGTTATATGCAAATATGCCGTTTCATAGAAGCCATTTTACCATGCTTTGATTCTGGTATCCATGGCCAGGTAGGGGTCTCCTGGTATCAGTCACCTGTGTATATGGAAAAACAGCTGTATATAGCTGGTACATATAAGAGAGATGGCTGTGTTAGGAAGCCAGGACCTCGGGCATGGGCAAGTCAGTGTCAGGAAAGGGACACGGGCCAATGCCAAACACACTTACTTCTTCCGCTGACCACCCTCATCACCAGGACCAAGTTTCCCTCTTCTTTTTTCTCTTTTTAAGTTGTATTGTTTGTTTTTGTTTTGTTTGAGACAGGGTTTCTCTGCGTATGTAGCCTTGGCTATCCTGGAACTCCGTCTGTAGACCAGACTGGCCTCAAACTCAGATATCTGCTTAACCTCTGCCTCCTGCCTCCAGAGTGCTGTGAGTAAAGGCATGTGCCACCACTGCCAATCTTATGTTTTTAAGTTAACCTATATTGTATGAATATAGGCATTTTATGTACATTTATATCTGTGCACTACATTTGTGCCTGGTGCCAGAAGAGGCCATCAGAATTGGAGTTAGACCTCTGTGAGCCACCATGGATACTAAGAATGGAATCCCAGTGCTCTGAAAGAGCAGCAGACGCTCACAACCAATGACATTTCTCTAGCCCTCATTCAGGTCCCTTATACACTGTAACCTCTTAGGAGGGTCCCCGTTTCTGGATACTGCTTTAGCCAGTTGAGGCCAAGGAAAGGATAGAGCAACAAGAACTTTAGCCCAGGGAGTTAGGAAAATGGCTCAGTGGTAGAACACCTGCCGAGAATCTCCTAGTGAGGGGCTGGAGTGTGGCTCAGCGGTAGAGCACCTGCCTAGAATCCCCCAGTGAGGGGCTGGGGTGTGGCTCAGCGGTAGAGTACCTGCCTAGCATGCTCAAAGTTTTGAGTTCCATTCCCTGCACTGAAAAAAAAAAATGGGGAAGGGAGGGCTCAAAGACATATTTCCCATCACCTGCCCTGGAAGCCACAGGGAATTTTCATTGTGGCTGGGGAATTACCAGTCAGCCTCATTCTCCACCTCTCCCACAAACATCTCCCTCCCACCTGGCCACCACTCACTACTGCCCACATTTGATGCGTACCCTAACAGATCACAAGCCAAGCAGACCCAGTTTTCTGACCCTCTTCACAGGACCCAGGAGACCATGGCTACCTCCAGGCTCTACACCCTAGTGCTGGTGCTTCAGCCTCAGCGAGTTCTCCTAGGAATGAAGAAGAGAGGCTTTGGTGCTGGCCGCTGGAATGGCTTTGGAGGCAAAGTCCAGGAAGGAGAGACCATTGAGGATGGGGCTAAGAGGTAAGGAAAGGGGAGGTCTGACCACAGAGCCAGCTTGGCAGGGGTTGAAGACCTGGAGAGGAGGAAACATACCCTTGAAACCAGGCTGGCCTTGAACTCACAGAGATCCACCTGCTGGATCTTTACTTCCAGAGTGCTGGGATTAATGTTGTATACCACTATGCCCAGCTTTTAAATTTTTTAAAGTATCTTTCTACATATTCCAGTTGACCAAATCTTCCTGCTTCAGCTTCCTGAGTGCTGGGATTATAGGTGTTCAATACCATGCCTTATGTAGTTTAATTCCTAAATTGGATATAGTAACACCTCTACATGATGTCCTCCTAGAATATGCGGCCTATGGGTCTATGGCCTTGTTCCTTGTAAGCAGGGATGCTCATGAGCTAATGCCACTTCTTCCTTACCCATCTGCTGCAGGGAGCTGCAGGAAGAGAGTGGCCTGACAGTGGATGCGCTGCACAAGGTGGGCCACATATCATTTGAGTTTGTGGGTTCCCCCGAGCTGATGGACGTGCATATCTTCTCTACTGACCACGTGCACGGGACGCCCATAGAGAGTGACGGTGAGCCTTGGGCCCTACTCCCTCCTTTCAACCATGGGCAGGGAAGTGCACCCAGTCTCACTTACCTGCCTAGGAGAAAGGAGTCAGCCCTTGCCAAGTGTAGGCCCCAAGTCTGCCAACGTTCCTCCTCTTTGCTTGTTCACAGAACTAAGGAGAGATAGGCAAGGCAGCCTTGTAACCCAAATGACTGCCACCCCCCCTTTTTTTTTGAGACAGGGTTTCTCTGTGTAGCCCTGGCTGTTCTGGAACTGGCTCTGTAGACCAGGCTGACTTTGAACTCAGGCATGTGCCACCACTGCCTCACAAGCCCATTTCTTTATTTCACAAAATATGGTACACATATTGGTACACGCCTTTTTATCCCAACACTCGGGAGGAAGAGATAGTGGTATCTCTGAGTTCAAAGCCAACATGATCCACATTGTGAGAGCTTGTCTCAGAAGGAAGGAGGAGGAGGAAGAAGAAATAATAATAATAATAAAATAGTTGGGCTGTGGCTTAGTTGGCAGGAAGCCTGACTACCTACCGAGCATAAGAACCTGAGTTCCACTCCCAGCAGTGGCATGAACCAGGTTTGGTGTTACAAGTCTGTAATCTCAACACAGGAGATTAGCTCTCAATAAACAAACAAACAAGAAAGTAACCAGGTGTGGTGATGTAGGTTCATAATTGCAGCATCTGGGAGGCCAAGGCAGAAAGAGTGAATTGAGGGCATAGTGGGCTATCGAATGGGTTCTAGGCCAGCCTGAACTACATAACCCTTTCAAAACCACGACATGGGGGCTGGAGAGATGGCTCAGAGGTTAAGAGCATTGCCTCCTCTTCCAAAGGTCCTGAGTTCAATTCCCAGCAACCACATGGTGGCTCACAACCCTCTGTAATGGGGTTTGGTGCCCTCTTCTGGCCTGCATACAGACAGAATATTGTATACATAATAAATAAATAAATATTTAAAAAAAAAAAACCACGAGATGGTCATGAGGATGAGATAAAAAATTAGTCCAGGCTCCTTTCTCAGATAAGCCAGATACAGTAGTACACACTCATAATCCCAGCACCAAGAAAATTCAGGCAGAATTGTCATGAGTTCAAGACCAGCCTGGGTTCCACACTGAATTCCAGGCCACCAAGGGTTCTAAGAAAGTCCCTTTATCAATGAAAGTAAAACAGAGCAAGCATAGTGGTACCACACCCCTGTAAGGGAAGCTGAGGCAGGAGGATCACTACTTATTCCAGACTAGCCTGGGCTATGGTGTAGAAGTCCTGTCTCAAAAAACTCCAGGGAGTGGAGAGATGGCAGAGGACCCACGAG